AAAAAAAAAAAAAAAACAACTTACTCACCCCCACGCCCCCTCTTTTGTCTTCACAAAACATCTTTAGATTAAGCAGAGAAGGCCTAAGGAGATAAGATTTTAAAAAAACAACAGAAAAAACAAACAAAAGAAAAACAAAAAAACAAACAAGTATTTTCAATTAGACTTAACCAGTGGACCGCCACATAATTTATTACGGTGTATTTTCTTTTAATATTATGTGAAAGAGATGGAGAAAAGTGTGAATGTGGGATAGAGCAGGCTCCCACCCCCTCCCCATTTTCATTAGATAAGCAATTTTCAATAATATTTTTTTTTTAAAATTCTATATCCCTGCAATAAGTTTGTTATGGTTTTTTTCCTTAATTAAAGAGAAAATATTTAATATGTTTGGCTCCAAAGTAATTTCTTTTGGAAACAAGTGCCAACAAGAAATTTTGTCACTTGTGCTCTGATAGTTACAAGTGACTATGTAGGCAGGGTTAAGCCTTGTGTATATATTATATAAATATCTATATAATGTCACGTTGACCTTTATCGAAAGGTTTAAGGTAAACTCAAGGGGAAATGACTATTCTTCATATTTCGCTGATAGAAAACATTCTCCGGTAGACTGAGCGTCACTATGGATGATCGTGTCACCACAGTCCCCGCTTCTCTGCCGGAAAACGGCGTGCGTGGCCTTGCCGACGAACTGGTCCTCTTCATCAGGAGTGAGCTTCTCTTTGATGGATTATACGACTGCGGCCGAACTATCCTCGCATTGCCGATCACATTTCTTGCCGATGTATCCACCGGATCGGCAGGGCGAGACGTACCGTGGGAAGATTGTGATAGGTCTTCTTCTAATTCCTCGTCGGCCGAACACGTGCCGGTAATCGGCGAGTCCCTTGAAACTCCGCTCGTTATATTTGTTTTACCAACGAGCCCCAACTGCCGGGATATAGATGGATAGCACATCCGGGTATGGCCCACCAATTTTCCGACTTTCGAACACACATGTTTCTCACGGGGTGATGACACACGCTCTCCACTCAGAATATTATTTTCACACGATTTCTTACCGGTGGTGTCGATTCTCAAACTGTCCAACACGGAGCAACATTTGTTCTGACCCCCCGAGGGCGAAGCGTGGTTGTTCTCATCGGTCACCTTCGTCGCACCACGAGGCAAAGACGTGTTTATCGCGTTATCGCTATTTCTCGCCTTGAAATAATTTTTGTTCGTGTCTCTCAGCGATTGAAATCCTGCCACGGTGTTCGATCTGTGCATGATACGCGACTCCAGTCCTCTCACTCGGCCAAGCAGACGATTTTCTGAACTCATAGAACAGTGCGGTGTATCAGCGTCTGGTGCTGTTGCCTTTTGGGCCTTGACGTATAAAATCTGTGCCTCCCAATCTTTAGAATTCCTGAACTGGTCTTGTTGAATTGCCGCAAATCCACATTTGAAATCATCACTTTCACGTGATTGCTCAGACATCACGTGGGCCTTCAAAACACTCCTCAGCGCGCTTGCAGATTTGTTTCTGACAGGGGAGCCTACTCTGACCGGCTGATGACGCCAGTCTTTTGTTTGGTGGTTGTGCATCCTGGCATCTTCAGTTCCAGCACTTTTGCCGAAGACGATAAACTTAGAGACATCTCGCGGGAGGCTTCCGAATTTCCTCCTGTTCGAGAAGAGTTCAGCCGTCACGGGAGAATTCAGCTCCATTTCCTGCACCTCTATCTTCTGACAGCTCAGGGCCACTTTGTTCTGGTGAGATTTGCTCGTGGGAGATTTCAGAGAAGCTCTGAGCCTTCTGAAATTCCTGCCCCTGCGGGTATCGCCGTGTTCACACCGTCCATCTTTGATCGATTTCGCGATTAAATCGGGGGTAAGGGTATCTTTTAATGGTGTGCTTGGTTTTCTGGACCCCCCAGAGGCAATACGCATCGGGGCGCTATAACTGTTGGCATTCTCCTCTTCGGATGACTCGTCAGTGCGCGGTGACGTCAGACTGATATGCAAATCACTTAGGTCGCTCCGAGAATTCGAAAACGACATGTCCGGTGCTAGCCCGAATCGTGACGACAAAAATTTGTCCCCGTTTGTCCAAGCACTCCCCGCCTCGGATTTTTCCCCGTGGGTCATCCGTGGAACGTCGCCGCCTTCCGGTAAAGAAACGACAGGGGCCGATAACCACCGCTGGACGTAGTCTGGCTTACTCACGGTGATCTGGTCGAGCTCCTCTGTCAGATCTATCCCTTCATCCGACTCCTGATATCTCAGTTCCGCGGGAAGCTCCTCTTCGCCGTCCTCATGTTCCGGGGCGGCGAACAGCATATGGGACGTGACAACCCCCGTCTCATCCTGATGTCTTGACACGTACCCTTCCCCGATGACCTCTGATGATCGTCCCCTGGGACGTCGCTCGGGGAAATGCGCAACCACCGTGATCGTATCACTCTGTAACTCCCACAGTCGCTCGGACGTCTCCTGGGTGTCAGCCATGGTGCCGGACATGGTGCCGATTCCGGTAGACATTGTTGGGGAAGACATTGGAGCGGCAGAGTTTTCCTGATTATCTTCTGTAATTTCACCGATGTTTTTTTCGCAGCTGTTCGAAGTGTCAGAACGGAG